AGAAAGTGGAACTCGGCGAGACATGATTGAGACCTGTTGCCGGACACATCTGCCCGGCGAGACAGTCGACTCGTTTCGCATTCCCTCTTCACCACATCATGCCCCCCGCCCACCGCCACCGTCCGCGTGGGGCTGGATCACATGCACTTGAACCGGATCACTCACTCACCGGGTCGCCGGGGTCTCAGCATCGAGGCCCTAATCGAAGCGTCCTTGCATCTTCTGCCTCACTCACTCTGCACCTCTTCCTCGGAGGCTCAGGCTTTCTGCTCGTCGGTGTGCATGTGTGTGTGTGTATTCCGTGCTGTATGTAAATTCGCGAAGCCATCCAGTTTATTCTCACTTTTGAAGCTAATAACGGTTTAATGAGTCCTCGAGCAAGTTCCGATTTGCAGACAGTGCTTGTCATGACCAGAATACCCTCCGGGCTTAGCAAATAGATTCGCGAAATGACTACTTTTGGGCGAGCAAATGTACGCTAATTCGTCTGTGCGTGTGTGTTGTGTGGGTGGGTGTGGATGTGTGAGTGTAGAATTACTGACAGATTTTGGTCAAAAGCGTTTATGAGGTATGCCAGTTTTTACGACGAGTAAGTTGGCTCCGATGATTCGCCTTGGATACTTGGTTAAAAGTCTCAAGTCAACACTAGGCTTCCTATGACTATTTTCGTATTAGAGTAGAGTTTCGAGACTACCAGTAAACCAGTAATATGAGATGTATTCACACAATTTCGTCTGAGGTGATGAAGGTCTGGTAGAAGAAGAGTTGAGTTGAGCTGACGTTTCCATTCAATTTCACATAGACTTGCTTTCCCAAAAGTTGTTCTCCTCCAAGTAATATGAGATCAGATGCTAGCTCATAGTAAAATTCACATTCCCCTTTTTCGGAGTCACTTACTACTCGAGCTTTGCACATGTGTTACCCAAACTATATTTTTCGAATTAAGTATTGTTTTCGTGACTACCAGTTAATCAGTGGTATGAGATGTATTCACACAATTTCGTTTAGGTGATAAAGGACCGGTAGAAGAATAATTTTCCCACAATTATATGAGTTTAGCTGGCGTTTCAATTCAATTTCACATAGCCCTGTTTTTCCAAAAGTTGTTTTCATCCAGGGAAAATTCTACTACCAGTCCTTCATCACCTTAGACGAAATAGGGTGAATACATCTCATATTCCTATAACTAGGTCTAGCCTGGTTAGCTTGAGACGCTTGCGAAAACCAGTCCCTTCTATAATTATTTCCATCGTATGATGGATGAAAACCCAGTCCATCTTCGTCCAGATGTCTTTCGGACTGAGTCAACCAGGAAGTCGTTTTAAAGCCAAACGCTGCAGTTCAACGAGACTCGTCCGTCGTATTTTCCAGTCAAATTGACCTTTTAATCTCTTCGTCATGTACTTCATACGAAATGAAAGTTGCCACTACAATTCCAGTTTCGACAGGTTTCTGGCTGAACTGAACGGCAGTTTGCCCAAGAAAGGTGACTCGACTGCTCATCTCGAAAAAACGACTGGTTGGATGGCGCTGAAGGGGTATCGCCTAAGCGCGAACACGAAATGGAACAAAATGCAAGCTAACGAGTCAAGAAAACTCACCGGCAAATCCCTCAAAAGTGGTACCCATACTCTACATCTGGCCTCTTTGATCAAGCATAAAGTGATTTGGTTAGTTAAGGTCATATGCCAACTTCGATGCCTGTGAGTGTGTCTGTTTCTGTATGTGTATGCTTGATCAAAGAGGCCAGATGTAGAGTATGTGTACCACTTTTTAGGGATTTACCGGTGGGTTTTCTTGACACATTAGCTTGAATTTCGTTGTGACGATGATACCCCCGAAGCTCTGATGATGTTCGTCATGCGACGGACGAAAGCTTAACACCTTTTTACCGGAATCGAAGGAGATTGCCTCGGAAACAGCGTCAACATGAATCTTCCAGTAAAGCCAATCGACAGCCGGTCAAGAGGAAGTAAGCTCAACAATTATGAAAGAAGAGACTCCTCGAAACCCAACTTTTCTTCGTATATATTACGAAAGGAAATGTTCAAAATGAACAGACCAAGTCGACATTTAGTTCCAAGGTAGGATTGATTGGAAGGAATTCGTGGATTGGTCTCACCTGAAACTGAATGATAAAAGGAGATTGTCATAAGAAATGCGATTAATTCCCATAACGTAGCATACCTTTCGAGATAGCGCACCGATTTAGAAAACCGGAGGTATAGTCCTGGTGCGCTATTTCGTTAAATACGCTTTCTTGCTATGACATTGTCTGTCTGTCACGGAGGTACAGACGAATGCTCCCCACGGATTGATCGGAGTCGCAGGCGGATGAGTCAACAATCTTCACGCCTCTTTCAGTTTCTGATGCGACCAAAGAACAAGTTTCTCTCAACCAACTTTTCCTTTCGAATGGAAAGTCTTCGAATACAAACTTTGCTTCATACAAAACAGCCAAGCTGATAAATTCATGCAGTAAAATAGGTGTGGTCATGCCTCAACTAGACTAACTTGCAAGAATGCCTGTTTAGGAGTAAGAAACCAATCAATCCATGCGATGCCCAGTTTAGATCACACAAAATAAATATAGTAAGTGAGTATGACTGAAGTTGACCACACCGAGCACACTTGCCTCATGCCTTTTACTATGACCAGGCTGGCCAGGATTCTGGTGAAACACGGGGTGGGCAATGTAACTTATTCTAAGACGCGTAACCGTGCTACTTATATCCATATAAGTAGGAGCCGATCAGACTAGTGCTTAAAATAAACGCCCTATTGCCTCCTCCTCTTTCAGACGGAAAGGGTGAACAGTTTCATTGACTTGATACCGCAACATACATCTCCCAAGCATGTGCATCAGAAAGGGAATACATGTTTAAAATTATTTGAAACTGTTTTCGCTACTGCCAGCAAAAACGCGTTCACTGCTTCTGTTGTGGTAGGCACCGCGGAATCACATCTCGTTACGAGGCCTAAAGTTGGGTTGACAACTAGGCTTGTGACTCTGCCGGCAATGGGTGGGTCGCAGAAGCTTAAATAAAGTGCATAGTTGCCAGTCTCGGCAACGTCGATCGACCCGTCGGCTAGAGACCTATCGGTTGTGCTTCTGGTCACTTGGGCAGGTTGGCGTGAGAGAACCGGCGTTCTAGGCGGACCTGCCACGCTCTCTTGTTAATGTTTTCATTGATATTAGCACACAGATACTCACATTAGCATATATATATATATATACATATTTATTTATTTATATATTTAGATATTTAGATAGCGCAAGAGAGCGAGAGGGAGAAAGGCATGCCTACACGAACGCTCCAACAGACAGGTCTATCTGAGTGCACAGATGCAGGCAAACAAGTTGGCACTTGTACACCGACACACGCGCCGACACGGAAACAGCCACAG